TGGACCTTTTGTGAATAAATATCTATCTATCTATCTATGTGCCGGGCGCCCGACTCTTTAACATTAGCCGTGACGTCACGGGAGCGTACACTTCTCAGCTGGCCTTCGCCGCAAGTTTGGCCTTGCATATGATTTTGAGGGTCACGGTTGTAAACAAGTTCCTTTCCGGAAACGTTCCGGAAACGCTAGAAACGTTGTCATGCTTTTATTTTCCGGAAAATGCTTCATTACTAATTCGCGCCTAAAATCACTTTAACCCTCGCCGGCACAGGGGGAATCCCCCTAAGGTTTTTCGCGAATGACTCGCGTAAAATGTGGCCGATCACGACGAAACTTTCAGTATCCTCGCATTGATCAATTTGACACCTACCCTGAAAATTTCATGACCCTGACCAAAATGACCTTTGACCTGTGACCTCTTTTCCGAGACCATGTTTGGCCGGAATCACGATTCGGCGTATGTTGGCTCGCATTAGCCGCGCGTTTGCAAGCTTTTCGTGGTTTCAATCGTCCAAACATGTGATTTGATGTTGCTCCCATGCATTAGGGTGGGTGTCAATGTCACCTGAAGGTCAGGTCAGGTCATTGACCTTTGGTGACCTCGGTTCACTTTTTCGAGTTTTACATGTTTTTAGGCTAGTTTTTGGAGCTGAATACGAATTTAGCAACCATTTGAACATTTACGAAGTAGTTTTGGTGCCTTCGTAACATGCTACGAAGCTGTCAGAGACGGATGACAGGTACCTACTACGAATACCCGTCACGACCCCTACCGGTTGACCTCTGACCTGACCCGACCTGGTCTGAACGCTTAACGACATCATCTGTGATCAAAACTAACACGATATTCGTGATCAGCACCCCGGAAAACCCTTAGCAGCCACACTTCACGACTTTCTAACAGGTCCCGATATTCCCGATTTTTGGGTCATTGACCTGACCTGGAAGGTCAACCGATGACCTAGGACCTTAAACTTAAATATCATTGGCTTCCTCTCGTGACGAGCAACACGCTCGTTTTTTCCGCGAAGCTCTAGCTCCATCAGGGGCCAAATGCGAGGGGGGTCGTACACTCGGGGGCAGATTGATGTTCCACCACTCCCTACCCATCGGGCTCCCATGACTCAGCACTGGCTGCTGCCAGTGGCAGCACTGGCAGCACTGGCACTGGCAGGCAGTAGCAGGCAGTGCTGAGCAGTGCTGACTGCTGAGGGCAGGCAACACTGGCAGCAGCCAGTGCTGAGCCATGGGATCGCCTAGGGAGTGGTGGAACATCAATCTGCCCCCGAGTGTACCACCACCCCCCCCCCCCTTGTGCCGTCGAATGACAAAATGGCCTGTGCCGGCGAGGGTTAAACATAGGTTCCTTAACGATTTCCTAATTGTACACTGTTGCATTGTCTGCATGGTGAGGAGAACGCTAACCGGTCAGAAGGGCGATGTGTTGTGAGGAGGGCGCCGACAGGTCAGGAGGGCGCTGTACGATGAACGACTGGTCAGGAGGGCGATGCATGGTGATGAGGGCGCTATGCGTTGCAAAGGGCGCCGGCTGGTCAGGAGGACGCTGAACGCGAAGATGTCGCCGACAGGCGAGGAGGGCGCTAACAGGTCAGGAGAGCAATGCACGGTGATGAGGGCTGCGACAGATCTGGAGGACGCTGTCCGTGAAGAGGGTGCCGACAAGTCAACAGGGCGCTGTATGGTGGGGAGAGCGCCGACAGGTCAGGAGGGCGCCGTGTGGTGAGGAGGATGCCATACGATGAGAAGGGCATTATACGAGTGAAGAGGGCGCTGACAGGCCAGGAGGATACTGTATAAAGAGGAGGCCGCGGACAGGTGAGGAAGGCGATGCACGGTCATGAGGGCGCCGACAGATCAGGAGGGCCCTCTACGGTGAAAAGGGCACCGACTTGTCAGGAGAGCGCTGAACGTAGAGGACGTCGGTCTGGAGGGCTTTGTAATTTGTATGGTTAGGAGGCCGCTATACAGTGAGGAGGATGGCGACAGGTCAGGAGGACACTGTACGGTGAGGAGGGCGCTATAATACGATAAGGAGGGCGCTGCCAGGTCAGGAGGGCGCTGACATGTGTGGACTTGTGGAGGACGAGACAGATAAGGAGGATGCTGTGTGATAATGCCCATGAGGGCGCCAACTGGTCTGCCCGGAGGGCTCCGAATGTGAAGAGGGCGCCGACGGGCCAGGAGAGCGCTGAAGGCCGAGAAGGGCGCCGACAGAGCAGAAGAGCGCCGAACAGACAGAAGGGCGCTAAAGGTGAGCCGAGGGCGCTAGATGGTCAGGAGATTGGGAGTGGATATCCGGCACTTCAGGATTGTGGGTGCATCTTCACCCACAAAGAGATATAAAATTGCATAGACTACTACATATCTATGTAGTAGTCTATGAAAATTGTAAACCTGGGCGCCAGTGCCGCATGATGTGCCGCAATGGCTTACCGTCGAGGGCGACTAGAGTGCTGGACAGTGGACACTGATAGGCGCCATCGGCGCACAGAATGACCGTGGAAGGCGCCTGCTAGATTTGGGAGGGGCTAAAGCCCAGTGTGCCCCCAGTGGCGGATCCAGGGGGGGGGGGCTGCGGGGGCTGGCAGCCCCCACCCAAGGAAAACTGGCGCCACTGCGCCGAAGGCGCAGTGGCGCCAATTTTCAATTCGCAACTCATCGGAGTGCCGCATACTAGGACTAGGATGCAAAAATCAGTCGAATAACGTCGTTTCAGTACGCTCCGCACCGATATTTCCAATCGTGTGGTGTCACTGTACATACTGATCCTGGGCGCCTCTTGTCAGGGCCACTGGGCGCCAATATTTCAGCGCCAATACGATGCGACTATGGCGCCCATCCGGGGCGTGGCGCCCAATTATGACCTGCAGCCCCTCCCCAGTGAAAATCCTGGATCCGCCACTGTGTGCCCCCCTCCCTGGCTGCGCCCCTGAGTCCTTTGTCTAGCGATTTTCGAAGTACCTACCTACGTATCGCTCCGTAGCGCCTAGCGGCCTTGGGAGCTGCCGGTGACTACACGGCCTACGGGTCCCGATTCATGTGGGAATAACACCACAGGGCACCGCATCTTTTTCGAGATAAATGACCGTTCCGAAGCGTGTCGCATTTTCCTGAGCATAACCTGGCGTTAACATAATATTAAGCGCCTGCAGGCCCGCTCCTGCCTGCGGCTGACAGCTTTCTGACGAGCCACCTGGCGATCGCCAACTCAACCCTAATTACGGCGTTGTCCACTAGGTGGCGGGGTCATACATACGATCCAAGTTAGGACAAGGAATTCTCATAATTATTTTGTTATCATATTTTCCCCTTTTTTAAGTCATTTAAAAGCGCTATTGCAGAAGTAATTTTTCGATTGGCAGCGATTGCAGCCGCCGCATCAGGGTCCGGATCGAGCCGGGGAGCGTATGCTCCGGTGACGTCACCGTAGTGTTGCAGATTTGTAACATTAGCGAGCCCGGACGATCTTACCTAACTTATACGGCCTTGGTCGGGGAGACATCGAACGCCGCCTTATATTCATATGTTTACCTACATTGGTTTACTAGCCGCCTCGACATAGCCTTGCGTGTGTATTTGTGTTGAGCACAGTAACCCGGTTTACATAGCATTTTTGACGAGGCTCTAGCTCGTTAATTTGGCGATAATTTCGATGCAGTGGTCTTCAAATATTTACAGGGGATCATTTTGTAAATTGTTAAGCACCATTGGCATCTTTTGCAACATCACGGACGGAGATATAAGCAGTATAAGCTTGCAACAAATCCTATGTATAAGCGTCTAGCATTTTGAACAATGAACAGCCCTCTTCTATTTTCAGCCTCAGAATTGGGACGCCGGTGAAAACAGGGCGCTGGAGGGCATATTAGTTATGTGACATTTGGAGCTTCTCCCCCTCCGTGGGCATTCTACATGCTAAATGTCACATGTGAATTTCTCGAACCTTGATCAAATTGCCCCATACGCCCTGTTTTCACTGTCGTCCCGGAATCGGCCGCATTGGAAGTACACGTCACAACGGAATTGGAGAGGGGGAGGGACAGGCTTTGGGCGGTTGTTCACGTGTGGCTCTGAAGTCTGAGTTGCCGTCACTCTGCAGTTTGCTGCAATTCTGCTCCTAACCGTTGCTCATGAGTCAGGACTTATCGCAGTGCAGGATTTATGGCATTTATGCATTACTTCTTTAACTAACCATTTCAATTTCCTCATAGTTATATTTACCACGCCTTGACCTTGCACCAAAAATTCATCTAATTTGATGGCCTTGCTCGGTCAAGAGACATACCAATAATAGGATCTGATGCCTTTTGCACCAAAATCCTCATTCCCTGCAGGAGCGAGTATAATGAGTTGCAGGGCTGCCGACTGTCTCAGCTGTATCTCTGTAACATGCTCATGTTATGTACATATTAGCTAAGTAATCGGTGCTCTATTAGCAGATGTTGCCCGTGCTGCCATCTCTATGTCCCACGCGCGCCGCAATTGTCTTTTTACAGTTAAATACACAACAAAACTACCTAACCCAACCTACACCCTACGACCTATATCCTACCAACCTACAACCTACCCTACTAGATATGGCAGTAGGGGTGACATCTGCTAAGAGAATCCCAAGTAATCTTGGTGTACATCCCTGTCGTTCAGTGACATCAACTGCAAGGGCAGAAAAAGTTTGCTTGTGCCTTGCACAGTGCTCTAGTTATCCTTGAATGCTGTCAAATCTATTATGATTATTTAAAAAAAAACATCAATCAGTTCTTGTTTTTCTTGTGAGCTTTCAGGTGATATAATTTTAGCCCATCGTTGGATGTGGGCCCTGTTTCACCGGTGATAGCAGCACGCTGCTTTTACACATGTCAAATTGGGTTTCCATGGAAACATCAACAGGCCCATTGCTCCAACACTACCACAAGTGTGACGTCAGCTCGCGCAATTTGATAGCAGCGTGGTAGCAGCGTCCTGTGAAACACCGCCGTGGTGGCTCTCTGGGAGAGCCCTGAAGTTGGGCCATCTTCCTTAGGATTGCATTACACTAGCCATCCGATCCTTGATACCACTGTGAGTGATGTCACAATAATCCTCGCGTGGACCTTATGAGCATACCTCCTGTGACCTGTCTATGTCCTTGAATGAGTTTACTCGCCTTGTTTACTCACTGTGGGGTTCCTCCACTTCCCAGCCTTACATGACTGATGAAGGGAGGGGGAGAGGAGCCTGGAAGCACAAGACACACCAGTTATTCAATGCTAGAACTAACCTTGGCAGTAACTACATAACAAGATAACAAACTGGAAAAGTGTATCTGCATTGTGTTGATCATCAGTTCATGCTGTATATCCCAACATAATGTCAATTTAAATGTGTTGTTTTACACAAAATCATACAGCTCATCAGGAATGGCTTCAACCAAGAGTCACTTGAAAGTGGGCCGTGGGGAGATTTGGGGCCATCACCACTCTCTCAGGGAGGCTGTTCCATAAGTTGTTGCTGTATTGTTTTTTGTTGTTGCATTTTTTTTTTCAGATAGTTGACATGTGAAACATTATTCTCCAAGTTGTAAAAATGATCATTGACATGCCAAAAAAGTCTTGTTTCTTCTGATACCAAAGTGCAAGTATTGTATGCTTAGTAGTGTATAGAAAATAGAAGAAAATTGCAAATCTGATGAGTCCAATGGTGAATGGTTTGCTAACTGTTTCAAACTGAGCTGTGGCCTGCTATATAGGGTCATGATTGTGGGGGATTAAGGAGGAAGAGGTATATTTGAATAGTAATTTCAGACACCAGCTATACATTGGTTCTCAAATCAATATTGGTGAGCCATAAATTTTCTACTGTTACAGCCTGCAAACAGCTTTTCCCCCTGAGAACTTTTCCTCTGACTGCTGTAAAATGGCTCTCCTCTAAGCTCATCCAACTTCCTCAGAGTATACATATTAGATTAACCATGGTAACAAACCCATAGGTGTACTTGTATGTTACTTGAGTTTACGTTTAGCTGGTAGCTTGCTGACTGGCTTCAGATAGGCGTTTTTAGTAAGCTTTTGTTATTTCAATTTTGAGAAGTATGTAAAATACATCCAATTCTACCCTGTTGCTTTTCTGTTGTTTGGACAAAACAGCAGATTTATGTGATGTCTGCTACCTTTAAAAGAGAGAAGCAAGAGTGACCTGTAACAGGTCATGTTTTCAAGATCAGGATATGGATAATGGATATCAAAGTTACAATTTGATGGAAGATGTCCATATGAATGGCCATCTGTGTTTATTCATTGTTCTGGTCCATTCATGTATGATACAATGCCACTGATTTTCAGTGTTTTAATGACATTTCCGGTTGCCTCAATCTCAATTCTAACTATCTAATGCCCCAATTGCCTCAATTGAAATTATAACTACATATTGTCTCAATCTCACTTCACTGAATAACAAAATACCTACAACTCTCATTTTTCAGACCACCTGAACAACTGTACAGGAAAATGAACAGAAACTTTAAACTTTGTACCTGTGCAGGAGGAATATTTGTTTGCTATTTCTACTATGGTGTGCTACAAGAGAGGATGTAAGTGCAATGATGCTGTGATTGTATCACCTACCTGTGTTTGTAAATTAGTTAAACGTTATGTAAAGCTAGCAAACCTGCTATTTTTCGCTTTTGAGACCGTTGCTCCACAGTGCAGTAACAAATTGTGCAATGGTGTTATGGCTGCCTTTTAATTACCTTTATCAAAAACAATAACCCACTAATAATTTGCAGAGTTAGTACCTTCCTTTAATTGCAATTTTGTAATGCATTGCTTCTGATACCAGAAATTTTTTCATTTAATCATATTTGCTATAGGATGAGGTGCCTATTATACCTACCCAGTATAAGTTACTTTTACAATAAGTTACTTGTTTTTGGTTCTTTTGTTACTGATATTCCTATTAAATGCCCAATGATAAATATTATATGAATTGTTACCTACTTAACTGGTTTCCATGCATGTATGTTTCTGATGTCAAATTACATCGCTCTTTTTCAGTACTCGCGGGATATACAAGATTGGAGATGTGGAAGAGAAGTTTGTTTATATACTTCCTATGGTTGGGTTGCAGTGTTTGGTCAACACTATTTATGCAATGATATGTGAGTCACTAAATGATCTCTCTCTCTCTCTCTCTCTCTCTCTCTCTCTCTCTCTCTCTCTCTCTCTCTCTCTCTCTCTCTCTCTCTCTCTCTCTCTCTCTCTCTCTCTCTCTCTCTCTCTCTCTCGCTCTCGCTCTCGCTCTCGCTCTCGCTCTCGCTCTCGCTCTCTCGCTATCGTTCTCGTTCTGTGGTTGTCACTGCTAATCGGACTCGGGACTCGGACTCTGCAGAGCTGTTGCTGTTGCTGCCTTTTTGGCCTCATTTATCAGTTTTTAACTTTTTTAAAGCGGAAGTGTTAAGCCACGAGCCGCTGGAGGGGGGGGGGGGCATAAAGTTTTCCCACTTTACGTTTTGTGGAATATCTCCGAAACCTGATGAGCTACGAACGTGAAAATTGGCATAGCTTCAAATGAATACCTAGGCAATGTTTGAGGAAAGTTTGGTGGCTTTAGCTCTTAAGATGACGTCACAGTGACGTCATAAAGTTTTGTCGTTTTCCGATATGGACCGTTCCTGACGTCGCTGAGCATGAAACCCAACTGTAAATGAACTAGACAGCGCCTGCTGTCATCCTAAAACATCTAAATACACTTCCAACTAGTTCCTGGCCAAAAATCGGTCCTTTATATTCGGTCTCATATATCGGATATATCGTGAGGAAACTGGGAGTCGCAAATCTATAATTTGACTTCTGACGTCACTGCGACGTCATATCAAATGGGATCGACACCAAATTTGGACACAACCTTGGCTGGGTATTCAGGAAGATGTGTTCAAAGTTTCGCTTCTCTATCATTTCGCGTTACGACGATATCGTCGCAGAAGTAAACGGGGGCGGGCAACTATAAGCCCCCCCCCCCGTCCCAGCGGCCGGCGGGTGGCGCGGAGGCCCAGCGACCGCCGGGTTAAAGTTTCAAAACCAATAGCGTTCTTCAAAGTCATAAAAGGCAGTCTTACATGCTTATTTTAAAAGTAATGGTGGTTCTGTGTACAAATGACCTTAGCTATGTAGTGGCTTTTTCATCGATTATGGTGCCTTTTGCTATTCGTTATCAAATTCGGAAACTGATGTTGCTTTGTGAATGTACCTAGTTTTGTCATAATTAAATCCGTTTGATTTACAGTGAATCGGTTCGTGAACCCACCGGCCAAAGATACGACGACACCAGGATACCATGCAGCAGTGTCTCTCACATACCTGCTAGCTATGGTTTTTAGCAACAAAGCCCTGCAATGGGTCAACTACCCAACTCAGGTGAGCTGACTGCCGTGTGGCATTGATGACTTATCCCGCGTCCCGTAGGGGGGAGGGGGCCGAACCTGCCCCGCTCTGTCCTTTTCCGCCGATATCTCCTAAACGACTGCAGATATCGTCACCAAACTTTTAGAACCCCTCCGGGCTTCGGGCATCAATGTTACACATTTTGACAAAAAAAAAAAAATCCAGAGGCTATGATAAGTTGGCCGCAAATGACGTCAGAATGACGTCATGTTCTGCCATTTTCGACCCAGGAAAGGTTTCATGGGAAGAGCTGTCAGGCAGTTAGGCCTAGAGCTTTGAAGATACAGAAAAATGTTAAAGACATAAAGGGTGTAGAATTAACAGGGCTACAAAACTGCTATCTTTGATTTTTTTGGATTTTGACCTCCACCCCCGTAAATAAAAAAGGGAATTTTTGGATATCCAAAAAGGATATTTGGATAGCCAAAAAATCCAAAAAGTTTTTTTTTCGAATTTCGAAAAAACGGAATATGAATGATACTCCCTCCCACTTTCTATCCACATACCAAATTTGAGATTGAAACCTCTTTTTTGGCCAAGTTATAGCGAAAACACTTCAAAATTGATGACATCAAATTTTCAAACTAATTTTTCAAAGCAATTCTAGACCACGTAGCGCAAAATAAAGACCACCATTAGACTCCCCGTGACGAACTGCATCGAATTGATACCCATTTTATGCAAAAATATCAACTTTGAAATTTGACCTAATTTGACCTGACCTTTTTTTTCTAAGCCGCCGCCCATGATCAGACGACCAGGAGTGTCCACCCACTGACCCACGCGACAACAGCACCTTACGTTAACACCTCCCAAGACAAAAATATGAAGAAAGTCGCGACACTCCCTGCTAAGAAAAGGAAAGCAAACAAAAACAAAGCTAAATACAATACTTAGTAAGTTAGTAAAATGTCATAAGAAGAGGCAAAGAAGTCAAGACTAAATATAGCTTGACTGGCCGCTACACCATTCCCAAAGAAGATAGTAAGAAGCAGACTTGTGATCAGCTCAGTTGAGCCGGCTCAAAGATCAGCTCAGCTCATGAGCCGGCTCAACATTTTGCCAAATTGTTGAGCTGTGAGCTGAGCCGGCTCAGTAATGCATTGAGCTGAGCTGCTGTCTGAGCTGAGCTGAATGAGCTTGAGCTGAGCTGAACTGAATGAGCTTGAGCTGAGCTTAGCTGAGCTGAGCTGAGCTGATTGAGCTGAGCTGAGCTGAGCGAGCTGAGCTGAGCTGATTGAGCTGAGCTGAGCTGAGCTGATTGAGCTGAGCTGAGCTGATTGAGCTGAGCTGAGCTGAGCTGAGCTGAGCGAGCTCAGCTCAGCTCAGCTAAGCTATGCTCAGCTGTGCTCACTGGAGCCAGCTGATAAGACGGGCTCCTCTGCGGGTGAATTTTATGTGATATTTTGCCAAGAACAGCACATGTTTCCATTGATGTTCGTCAAGTGCCATGCCAGTCGTGAGTCCACTGTGATGATTTTCGCGAGTGCGCCCTGGAGCCACCTGAGAAGACGGGCTCCTCTGCGCGTGAATTAAATGTGATAGTTACCCATAAACAGAACGTGTTTCCATTGATGTTCGTCAAGACTCAAGTGCCAGTCGTGAGTCCACTGTGATGATTTTCATGCGCACTGGAGCCAACGGACAAGACGGGCTCCTCTGCGGGTGAATTTTCTGTGATATTAAGCCATGAACTTATTGAACAGAACATGTTTCTATTGATGCTCGTCATGTGCCAGTCGTGAGTGCACTGTGGTGATTGTCGCGGGTGCACACTGTGATAACATGTAATAACACTGCCAAGAACAGTCCATTTCATGTAAGTCTGAGTCCAAGTAGACGCACGACTCGCAAAGTCTCAAGGTCTTAATGAGCTTATCTCTTTTGCCCATTGTGTAAGTTGCCTCGCTCCTTGTTAGAGGAGACTTACTTATGTGCCAAGAGTTGGTCTGTTTTTTAACCTTCCAGGCGGTGGGGGGGGGGCATTTTTTGACCCCCCCCCCCTTAGTTTTTTCGATATCTCGAGAACCGCTGCACCGATCGTCACTAAACTTTCGGTACCCTGCCGTGTACAGCTACTGCACATCGTGACTAAAGAATTTTCCAAAGGCTATGATAGGTTGGACGCTAATGACGTCAGAGTGACGTCATTTCTGCCATTTTCGACCTCAAAAAAGGTTTCGCGAGAAGAGCTGTCAGGCCTACAGCTTTAGAGATACAGAAAAATATTCAGACATGAAAGGTGTAGAATTTAAAGGGCTACAAAACTGCAATCTCGGATTTTTGAAATTTTTGGATTTTGACCCCCAAAAATCAAAAATTAGATTTTTTGAATGTAACAGCTGAAAAATCCAAAAAGTTTTTTGAAAAAAACCGGAAGATATGTGATAGTCCCTACGGCCTTCTATCTACATACCAAATTTGAGATCGATTCGATACCTCTTTTTTTTGGGCAAGTCATAGCGAAAAAACTTCAAAATTGATGACGTCAAATTTTCAAACTAAATTTTTAGCAATTCTAGACCTCGTAGCGCAAAACAAAGACCACCATTAGACTCCCCGTGACAAGCTGCATCGAATCAATACCCATTTTATGCAGAAATATCAACTTTGAAATTTGACCTTTTTTACCTGACCTTGACCTGACCTCCACCAGAAAGTGACCTAAACCGTACCTGATGGTCTTATAATCAACACCATTGAGTTGGAAATGAAAAACTGGCCATAAAACATGCAAAAACTGGCTCAACTCCGTCTTATCCGCTCCCGCTCAGCTCCCGCTCAGGAGCCTTAGTAAAGTTGGGTTCATGTGGTCAGGTGACCCTTGGTGACCTCTGGTGACCTGACCTGTGACCTGACCTGGTATGACCAGTGACCTCTTATAGCAACATATGTACTAGACAACTGACACCCTATCGCTGATTTTCGACAAAATGCGTTTTACTCGGTGTTATAGCGCGAAGCCCCGTGAACGGTGAAACATTTTATCTTTGACCTGACCTGTGACGTCATCGGTGACCCTGAGGTCAATGAAATTTGGTTTCCTTCAACAAATTTGACAGGGCTATCGAACGCCGTTTGAATTTTCCGGATCTGTCCAGTAGTTTCGGAGATACAGGGGGGGGGCAAAAATGACCCCCCCTCCCCACCGCGCGGAAGGTGGCCGGGAGGCCCACCGCCTGCCGGGTTAAGCAGGTCCGATTTAAAAAGAACGACTGAACGATCTGAGCGTGAATTGAACTGAGCGGAAACTGAGCTGAGCTGAATTGAGCGGAAACTGAGCTGAGCTGAATGGGAACTGAGTTGAGCTGAGCTGAGCTGAGCTGAGCGGAAACTGAGCTGAGCTGAGCGGAAACTGAGCTGAGCTGAGCGGAAACTGAGCTGAGCTGAGCGGAAACTGAGCTGAGCGGAAACTGAGCTGAGCTGAGCTGAGCGGAAACTGAGCTGAGCTGAGCTGAGCGTGAGCGGAGCGCAGCCGGTTTGAGCGGAACGTGAGCTGAGCTGAGCCGCGTTAAACTGAGCGGGAGCTGAGCGGGAGCGGATAAGACGGAGTTGAGCTGAGCGAGCTCACTTTTTTCTTGAGCTGTCACAAGTCTGGTAAGAAGGAGAGAGTGATCCAGGGGTTAGTGGTAATAAGCGCATGCAAAGCTTGCATTATACAAGAGGGACAGAGCCTAGTCACACCCGGAGGAGTCAGATCCTCACCGAAAAGGGATACCGAGCTAAGCAAGCTTGTTGCTCGGTAAACCCAGGTCGGTGGGAAGTATCGTAGGGCTGATTTACGTATTGTTACGTATCCAGGAGAACTTAAGTGTGACTTGTAAGTACACAAAACAAGACGAGACGACCGGTATACAAATAGCAAGTAATGTAAATAGCAAGAAAGCTAGGTCATTGAGCGATGGCGTCTGGCGATGATTCAAAGACATACAGTTAGTACTGTACGTACTGTATGATGTTTATAGGGAGAAAAAGCAAAGCTTAACAAAAAAAGGGCAAAACAAAAATGTGGGATAAAAGTTCGAGAAGAAGTAAAAGACAAACAGGGAAAAGACATAAGGACCACTAAATACCACCACCTCTTGTGGCGATCTAGGTACCCAGTTAGAACATACCTACCCAGTTACAGAGATGTACAATGTTCCAAAATTAGGTATGCATAAGTGATATGCATTAAAGACAAATTCTGTAATTGTGTACATATAACTATGTACTGTGCAAGTATGTACCTGTGAGAGAGCGGGTAAAAAATACATTTTTAGGTAAATGTACGTACATACCCACAATAAATAAAATGGGGGATCATTTCATTGGCAGGTATTCGTATGTTTACGAACGCAGGTGGAACACAAGAACAATAATGTCAGTGTTGGCAATGGTATACCTTGACCTTGATCTGACCTTCACCAGAACATAACCTAGACTGGCCTCATAGGCTGCCTGACCGACATAATCTCATTTGTCATGTAAAATGGACCATAAAACATGTTCACACGACACTTTCGTATTGTGACCCTCAGTGACCTGACCTCTGTGACCTGACCTGGTATTTATGACCTCAGTTAGCAAAATATGTGTTTTACGGGCAATGTCCCATCGATGATTTGCAATACCATGCCTTTTATTCGATTTTACAACACATTTCCTGAAATGTCTGTACACGGTGAAAATTTGCCCTTTGACCTGAACTGTGACGTCATCGGTTGGACAGAGGTGAATGAAATTTGGTCACAAGGTAGTTCCGTGGCAGGACTATCCAGCGCCGTTTGAATTTTGAATATCGGCCGGAAACTTTCCGAGATCTTAGGGAGCCGGGGGGGGGGGGGGCGAAACGGCTTGCAAACTTATTTGAACTCACAAAAATGCACTGCGGGAATTTTGCGTAAGCGGACATCCAGCATCCCCCCTTTTGTTTTGGTCTTGATTTCTGTGGTCTATCCGGAAGTCAAATGGTAGTTACACGTTGGGGCGTCAGAACGTATCCACTAGTGGTGTCAATCGGAACTTGAATCTTCGGAATTCCGATTTTGTCCAATGTCCAATTCGGAATTCGGTTGGACAATGACAGTAGGCTTTGGACAACTTTGGACAATCGCTTGTTACACCTCAACATTTTTGTAAAGTAATCGTGTTTAACATTGATTGGCTATTAAAAAGCTCAGCTTTCGATATGATTACCACCTTTGAGCTGGTAACGATACATTAAAAGCAAATTAAATAAAGGTGTTGAGTGTAAACTACTGCGTAGATGTCGGACATCTTTGGACAAATGGCTGGCTTGGACATTTTTGGACGGACGGTCGACGTAAGTATTGGACATTGGACAGACATTGGACATATGTTTTCTGAAATTGACATCACTAGTATCCACATAGCGAGACCGACCCAACCCGCTCATCATCTTCATTGAATGGCCACTAATGCTAACCGGCTGGTTATATTCATTTTGTGAAATTAGCTTAGACTGGGCTGGGGGAGCACCAAATTGTTCTCTCATGAAGTTCAGTGGGAATCAGATACCCTCAATTCGATGTTGCTTACGCTTCACCGTATTATGAATTCTTAGTATATTATGTTTACTTCTTCTGTAATATATTTACGTTCTAGCGGCTACAATGATGTAGCAGTGTGATGCGCCGGTTTTCGCTGAGCAGTGTGACACGGCGGCGCGGCCGACCGCTCTGTGCTGCAGGTGGTGGGCAAGTCGTGTAAGCCGATCCCGGTGATGCTGATGGGCGTGCTGCTGAGCCGGCGCCGCTACCCGCTCCGAAAGTACCTGTTCGTGCTGCTCATTGTCGTCGGCGTGGCCGTGTTCATGTACAAGGACGACGTCAAGAAGGAGCCGGCCGGCACCGAGGGGCTCGGAGAGGTCCTCCTGGTAAGCCAGGGGCTCGGAAACTTCCATAGTAATATCGTAAAATGGGGTCCTAATTGTTTTAAAGTGTGTATTGGTAATGTCATCAGGCACACCGTGAACAGTGTGAGTACATGAGTACACGGCTGAACGTCAGACTCAGTTGTATAGCGCAGTTCACCGAAATCTTGCTGCCTCAGAAACGGTATGAGTAGTAACTATTGCGTCATTTTCTACGCTCAGATGTATGGAGTCGGGAATGTATGGAAAAGCCGTGAAAGTTCCAATTATTATTGCAGATTATCACATTTTTAAATTTAATGTTTCCTCTAATAGTGCTTTCGGTCTCCATAATGCTCTGTAATTGGTTTTAGTATTATCGTGTCTCTAATCCGGCGATACGGAATAAAATGCTGGTTGCAGTTTTCAATGTCCTTGTAAATATGATTTAGCTGTATGAGCTCCGGCACGCAGTGTTACTGGGCAGAGGCCGTCACTGACGCCCTGTTCTCCGACAGCTGCTCTCACTGCTGATGGACGGACTTACGGGCGCCATCCAGGACATGATGAAGAACGACTTCAAGTGCAGCTCGGGCAGCATGATGTACAGCATGAACCTGTGGGGAACCATGTGCACCGGCCTAGGTCAGCATCATCCGTTACCCACTCGTCATTGCCACTTTGTCATGTCATATAAGGAATAACTTGAGTTGTTGCTGAGTATCAACAACTGCCTCTTGAATTTGATCCAGAATTTACTTCCACCACCGCATTTTTGCGATACTATGGTCTCACGACCTCCACTATGAAGCTAAGGCATTTAGCATGGAGTTACAGTGCCTTTAGGTGTGAGCCTCTGGAAGCCCAAGATACGGTTTTGGAGGCGGCGGTGCCTCCTGAATTATCCAGTGCTCTCCAAATTTACTTGTGTCCGTTCCCGCAGTGTCCAGGTCCTCTGCGTTCACCCGTGTCCGTGTCCTACGCTTTCACCGGTGTCCGTGTCCCCTGAACTCACCTCTGTGTTCTCTGCCGCAGCTGTGGTGATGACCGGCGAGCTGCTAGGTTTCCTCAGCTTTGTGCAGCGCCACCCGTCAGTGCTGGGACAGCTGGCCAGCCTCTCGGTAGCCTCCGCTCTAGGACAGGTGAGTGCGGCGGAAGGCGCGGGCTGTGGTCGAGATTTTAGAGATTGTGTGTACTTGTAGCGTAATTGTAGGTTATCAACGTCCTAGCGTCTGGTTGCGCTATACGAAGGGAAGTGATGTCAATGTGGTCTCCTCAAAATAACTGTACAGAATGTGATTTGCCACAAATGCTAGGATTTCTAGGAATCGAATTGGAAGTTTGATATGTTTTCGGAAGATCCGATACTTGTTTGGTAACCTTCGCATTCTGGACGGTCGACAACTATTGGGTGTCCGTGCTCTTTCAGTGCGCACCCCACATTTTCTACGTCTTATGAATGGGTGTCACTGATCGTGCCGACTGTGTGTGATCTGATTCGATATCACCGACTGTGTGTGCTGCGTGTGCTCTTTTGCCGGCTATGTGTGCTCTGTCGCGGACTGTGTGTTCTGTATGCTGTTTGTGCTCTGCCGCCGGTTATATGTGTTTCTACTTCCCATCCGTTTTCCCTCGGCAGTACTTTATCTTTATGACGATCAGCGAGTTCGGCCCGCTGCCGTGCTCCATCATCACCACGACGCGGAAGTTTTTCACCGTGCTCGGCTCGGTGTTCCTGCTGGGGAACACGCTCACCAGCCGACAGTGGCTCGGGGCCGTGGCCGTCTTCACAGGTGGGTGCCGCTGGCTGCGCGGGGGGCGTGTCGTCGACCCATGACCCAGGAGGGTTTATAAAGGATCACACAGTCTACACGTCCCCCATGTCCCTGCTCAGATTGGAACGTGCACCGGCCTGATATTATATCTCGTTGATGAGTGATTCATGTTAGGAATTTCTTATTTTCTTGCATTCGATTTTGATCTATACAATCTTGACTGGTTTGAAGCCGAAAATACTCTGGCATCATATAATCCTTAAGTTTTTCAAAGCTATTCCATAGCATTGCTTCAGGTATTGACACTTTTCTAGTTAAAATGTTTCGTGTTTCATACCATGCTACTTCATCGCTTTTTTAATTTGCTAATTGCGTCGTCATGATATTTTATCTTCTCAGTACCAGCCTACACTCATCTGATGATTGCAATTATAAACGAATAAATTTATTGAATTGGGTAGCGTTATTGGTGCTCTTTTTTGTGACTTTTGGTGACCCGCTTTTCACTGGCAGGTCTCATCTTGGACAGCGTTTACGGCAAAACGCCGGCACCGAAACCGGTCACAAACGGCAAGGCCAAGACTGATCTCTAGTGAGGCGCGGGCGCGGTTCAGCGAGCTCGCGCGCTGCTGAATAGATATACCCACAGTCCTATTTATTGTTGTCCGTGTTGTCGCGCAATTTGTGGTCATTGTAACCTCTGATGAGGCGGCTGATACATCTAAACTTCTGACACGTTGAAGTATGCTGGGTTTTGATGCTTTAGTTTTATTCATTTAAATGAAATTCAATGTTATTTGATCTGACACGAGTTACATGACATGCTGCTCTAAAAATTCACAGCAGAACAAACGTTAGTAAAAGCATGTCTTCAGAACACTTATAAATTATAACGCACAGTGTGGTGGCATGTTGTTTCTTAGGAAAGATGCGGCTGGGTTTTCGGGTGTGGATGGGGTAGTTGTTGTAGTTTTTTAGTAGCTTTGGTATCACCTGTGGTATTTATCGATCGTTGAACAGTGAACACGTGTTATGGTTGCGCCGTGGTTCAGGACGCACTTGCCACATGCCGTAGGTGAACAGTGTGAGACAAATAGCACCCTGCCTGCCCCCCCCCCCCCCACCCCATCGCAGGGTTTCTGCTCCTTACGACCAAGTGACTTCGCACAAAGTGCATGTGATCGTCACGCTCGGGACTGATATTCGCTCATCTCTGCTGAAATGTGAAAGGCCCAGCATCTCTCAACTTGCCTTTCTCTGCGCTTATTGTTTTCCTTTGAGGTCATAAAATTGAGCCCAATGAGTTCCAAACATTTTCCACATAAGTAACATCTGCCGTCGGGGGAAAAACCTTGTACCTGGATAAGTTTTTTTTTTTTACTGAACTTGCCATGAAGGCAAAAAAAAACTTATTATTCACACTGGCCACTATGCGTGTCCTCCAACAATTAAAGTTGCTTCACACCCTGGAGGGTGGAAAAACAATGAAATTAATGAGTCTGGTTACATGGTACTGTAATTACTATTCGGTGACATCTGTCGTTCAAATGCATTAAGTGAAACATTGGTGTATTTTCACGGCAATCGAAGCAATGGCGAAATGCTCTCCATGCCCAGCTCGATAGAAGAGAAGGAAAATATAATGTGCCACTTCACAGAGTAGAAATAAAGTATATTTTGTACTTTCCGATAAGCAATGTGAATTGCGGAAATAATTTAATCACTACTGTGCCCATAAGAAACAACTGATGGTTCCCCTGCGCCTTGGGTCCACTCATCCTTTTTCTCCTAACTTTTCTTTCAGCTGACGGGCTTCAGACCCCCGGAGACTCTCCTGGAAGTGGCACCTATGGGGTGGCGGCAGCGAGAGGAGATGCCGCTTTAGCTGGAGAAGTTTCGCTTTGTTCACTACTCTGATTGAGACGTCGGCTTTGGCTACCCATCTGGCGCGTCCATTCCCGCTAGACCCTCATGCCAGAGAATGGAGACTGGCCTCGGCGCTTCTCCCGCCCTCCACAACGTATGCTCACTGTAGACAGTATCTTGTTATAGACAACGAGACGTGAGGTGAAGATGCACTATTTGTGTGGTAGTTGAGGAAGGAGGAATATTTCCATCATGTCCTCGGACACAACATGTTCGCCCTCGTCCCATAGGAACTCCTTCGCCATTTATCTGAAGACTATATGCCGCACACTGTGAGCACTCTTCTGAGCCCAGTTTTGTGAATCAAATGTTCATCTGTTCCATTGTCTGCCGGTAAGTCGTCTCGTAGCGCATGCCCTGCCTCAGGTCTGTCCGCAATGTCGAAACAGAATAGCTTAGGTCGGCTTGGAGATGTCTCAGCGGCTTGGTGCATGAAGATAGCGATTGTGAGGTGCCACAGATTTGAAGGACATGATGTGCTGCTTTATCATATCTTCCTCTACCCTCTTCGCTGTCGGCTATTTGCCTCTCTTGTCCGCTGGAGCTGTCGGATCTGCCGCGATGCTTCTCTAACTAGTTACACTGGCTTATCGTTGCCCGTCTTAAAACCAAGCGCGCTAAGGAAGAATTCCTTGCATACTCGAACATTTTCAGAGCCCACTGGTAGACATCACTGCAGGAAACGTCTTCGGCTCTATCGTCCCCGTTCAGAAACACCGCTGTCTTCTGTGATAAATCGCCGCTACCACTCTGGCCTGGCTGTTCTTAGCAGATTGTTGACCGTTTCACTGATTTGACGTCGCTCAACCTCTGAGATGCCACGTCCGGACTGCAGATTTCATCGATCTGCCATGCAATCGCCAGGGACGAGAAACAACTGATGCTTTGTAGCAAACCTCTTCGTTGATCTTCTGATGTTCTTGCGCGCTTTACTTTGGCGAGAGCGGTTTCAGGAGCTGCTTCGGTAAAGTGCAGCCAGTCAGCGAGCTCAGTGACTCCGTCGGGCGTCACACATCCGCTGTTGATAGATTCCAGCGACTCGCCACCCTTTGAATTAGGGCCAGGCAGTGGCGATGCGCTCTTCGGAGGCGCTTTCTGGCTAGAAGTGATTGTAGGACAGATAGATGTCCTCGTCTAAGGAAGCCGAATCACACTGGAGCAGCGGAGCTCGCTGCTCGCTGGTTGATGTTCGTCATGTCTCCTGAAGGCTTCGGTAGACGCTGACGTCTTCAGTTAGCTAAGGGCTCATTAGGGAAGTCCACGGAAGTAGTGGCGTTAAACAGCGCTGATAGGAGTCACAAAGCCACGACACTCCACCTGCAAAACTCGCACTTTGGTTAGAAGTTGATGACTGATGGACACATTGATGACATTTATAGCGAGGACTGCTGTGCTGCCTTCTCCGGGGACCTAAGATAATATATCCCCTACATTCTCCTGGTATAAGTTCCTTACATGGTCCCAGACTACTTCGAGCACTTGGCAATAATGTACCTATAGTCCATTTTATTTCAAAAGGCGCACGGCCCGAAAATAGATTTTAGAATTGTCACGTGCAAAGTGGTGGTTTTGACAAAAATTAACGAACACCGGCTTGGCACGTTTCGAAATCAGACTGGTCGGCTGGTCCAAGGCCATATATAGTGGCTGGTCTCTGATTTGCGATAAAGTATGGACCCTGGTATGGACATAAGACACATGAGGAACTGTGAATCGAAAATGCTTCCACACGGGGTCTAGCCACAGGCACTAAACAAATGATTAAAATGATCACGTGGATGACCTGTTTGCAGGCCTACAAAGATAACACACGGATTGACATTTTGTTTTAAATTTATTTCCTGGTAAAGTACAAAAAGAAACATGCGCCAGCATATCTGCCGACCTATTACAATACTGACCGATCGATTTCTGCATTGGGAAAAAGTCTGTGGAAGGAGTTATTAAAAAGACGACCGAAGTTTCTACGTAGCATGCGAAAACACAATGTAAGACAACAATATAGAGCGTCACCAACTTCAGCGGTTGACACATGTTTTCCATGAGCCTGCCGTTCAGAATTCTGGCCCCCGACAGAATATAGTAGCAAAAATCATTGTTCTGTCTTGGTTGTTTAAAGATTTGCCGCTTGCTAGTTTCTCAAGTGATGGGCTGGCTGTGGAATCAAGGCTACTACAGGAGTGACGTTACATTAGCATGCAAAATTAACAGAATGGCTCAAATCTATGAATTAACAAACATTTTGAAACGTGACACAGAATATAAGCTCAACTGAACAACTCGTTCCGTAGCACTGCGGTTATCTTTCAAAAATGGCCGAGAAATCCTAAAATGTATATATTCATCGTACACTTCAAACATGGTTAAATTACAGACACTTTACAAAAAAGCAGAGACATTGACAGCTTAACACAGCTGGCACGCAGGAACATTAGTTTGCCCCGCGTGTTAAGTAGTAAGCCAGCTCTGGATCGTCCATATAGTCGCGGCTAGTCTCGACCTCGAGTCCTTGCGCCCTGAATTCTGATTTTATTTGTTGGAACAGTTCACGGTAGCGTGCTAAACGAGCGGATATGCTGGGGTTATCAACTGCTGGAGATGGTGGAGAGCGACTATTAGTGTGGCTATCGGCAGTGATGGGTGATGGTGTTGTGTCAGAATTCATGCTAGGCGCTGAGGATGGTTGTGTGATATCAGTGATGGCATTGTTGGCTTGATGTGTTGGCAAGTGGATGTGGTCTGGGGTGGCATGATTGTAACATGTGCCATTTTGGGTCTGTCGTTTTTGAGTTTGCCGTAGTCCTGGGGTCCATGATTGTACCTGATGTTGAACGGTGTCGGAACTCATGGGGAAATGGGTTGTCGATCCTATGATTGCTGCCGCGTTTCCACGTATGATGGCCATTGACAACCGTTGCCATAACCAAGCTGTTTCCCGTCGGTCACCGGTTGACTGTGATATACGTCTGCCGAGCTCCTTGAAAAATCGACAAGCAGCTGGGCCGACAACTCCAGACGTCTCAACTGCCACTGGTACGAAAAGGTATTGCTCAGAAATGGATGAATACCGTTGGATTTTGCGTTTTTCCGCTGCGCTAGCTGCTGAACCAGGGTTGATGGCACAAGCGACCATAGCAGTCTCGGAGAAAGTGTCCGAGCACGTGGCGTCCCATGCAAGACATTTTCCACTTGCGAATGGGAAAGTTGTTAGGCCGTCCGGGCGCTTGCCGTCCCCTCTGTCGAGGCCCACCGGTTCCAGCACGGATGGGACGCCAGAGACGGAGAGGCTGCGTTTTATTAGGTCGTTTATATGGGCATGTCGAGGGAATCGACCGGCGCTCTTCTGACAGGAAAGGGCGTGATGTCCCAGGCGTCCAACTTGGCGACCGCAAAGACGGCATGTGTGCGGCTCACAAATTGGGACTCCCAGACGAAGAGCGACCGCAATTCTGACAGTCTCTGGGTCTAGGTGAAGGCCGAGGCTGGGGACCGGTATCGCTTGCAGCCAGGCGGCGGTATGATCCTGACTGGCGGCAAGAAGACGAGTTCTGTGCATTTGGTCAGCGTCACTGAGTAGGTGGTCTCTGAGTGCTTTTGACGCCATATCATCCCATGTACGTTGTTTGCATGCCAACATGGGTTCCGGAACTTCCGTGCTAGCTGTTGCCTTGACGAAACATTCTAAGGCAGGTTGCAAAGCGGAAGGCACTGTGTTGTCCAGAATGAATGGGATTATTGAAGTTATGAGAGGAGTCGCAGCCGTGATTGAAGAAATGTAGCAAGGAAGCGCGAGTCTCTCGACGGATCGAACGCCGAGACCACCGTGTCTTACGGGGAGACTTGCTTGCGTCCAGGCTCCTTCGGTAAGTGAAACGTTGCATACATCGGTAAGAGCAGATTTCACCGCATTATCAATTGCCTGCAAGCCTGCTTTGTTCGTATACATTGGGCTTGAACGGAGCAGGTACTGCAGGCGAGG